TGATTGGTTGGTCATGTGTTGAATAGTCATTTATAGGACTATTTTAATATATGTAGGTGTTTGACGAGCTGAGCTCGCTGCCTACTCGTGTTTTTGTATCTATCGCTTCGGTAACCAGGTGGGTTTACTTATAAAATTTGCTATGCCGTATGTGTTTACTTTAATGTTGGGTTGGTATGATTTAAGTATGCATGTAAACCATGTAGCCTATCGGCGTGAGCCGATTCGGCCGTCGGTACGATTGTCCCCGTCGATGTAATACGGTTACCCTTGCGAGGTAAGTCTCCGTTTAGACCTAATGAAAGACCGTGTCTTGTTGTATAGCACGTACCCCCATGAGTTAGAGTAATGAATCCCCTTTCCGTGGCTAATGAAAGATGTGTACACGTGGGTAATGTGTTGTGATGTGATTAGGAGACGTGACAGAATAATTGATTTATGTTCATGCTATAACCATACCTTCTTTACATTATTTATTAATGTGATATACGTGCATAGTGGTGAGCACGCATTTTCATGTTGTGCTCATCCCCACCTGCTCTTCACGGATGCAGGTTAAGCAGGAGCCGAGTGACGAGGAAGGACGAGTGGGTCGGTCTTATGATTATGATAATTTATGCTTCCGCATATGAATAAATGTGTTAGTGTTTGGAACTTTGTTTTGGGTTAAGACATGAAAACTGTTTTAAAAACTCCTGTTTGAGTATGTTAATTTTTGGGATGTTTTGATGAACCTAATGTGAATTGGTCATAATGTGTTTGGTTATTTCATGCCTTCGTTTACGAGCTGAATAACTTATGTTGAAAATCAGGGTAATGAAACCTTGTGAAAAATCCGGGTAATGAAATCTCGTGGGCCCAGATATGACTTGGGTTAAGAAAAACGTTGATTAATACCCATAGAATTTCGAGAATGATCTCGAAAAATTAATATTGGTTTTCGAAAGTCTGGAATTTCTTTAAAATTAAAGTGGGGTGTTACAGTTTGGTATCAGAGCCTACACGCCGTGCTGAGAGACGTGAGGCCAACTGCAGTGGCCGATCGTTGACTCGCATGAGAA